TTGTGGATCTTTGGCTTTAAAAAAGATTGCATGTTACTTGACATTTCTATTAAATACTTTTATTTCGGTCTGTAAAAACTTATGACTTATCTTTATTTCAGTCTATAACTTATGACTTGTGACTTAATCTTTATCTTTGGCTTTTAATCTCTCTTTTGGATGTTTGCTAGTACTTTAATCTTTGGCCACTTTAAACAGGTTAAGTGGGTAAACATGTTAAACAGGTTAAACGGGTTAAACGAGTTAAACAGGTTAAACGGTAAACATGTTAAACAGGTCGTTAAACAGGTCGTGTTTGGTGTGTCTAACACGACACGTTTATTAAACGGGTTACACGTGTCGTGTCGTGTTACCCGTTTAATAAACTTGTCGTGTTCGGGTTTATGATATGTGACACGATTATTAATCGTGTCGTGTTCGGGTTGACCTGTTTAGTGTTATACCCCTACTTCGACACGACACGATTATGACACGCGAACCTGAATTGCCATCCCTATCGGTAGCACCCATAACTTTCTAAAAATTATGATTTTGCCCCTAGGACTAAACTTATTCATTTTTAAAAATTCACTTTCGCATTTTTGTTTTCTTTTAAGTCACATGACTTCATAGGAAGCCATGTTTGTGTCTTAGGGATGACGTACATCTCTTGAGACTTTGTTTGCACGTTAAATGACCATTTTGCCCTTGGGGTATATTTGATCTATTTTCACATCTTGCTTCCGTATTTGTTTTTGTTTCCACTTTCGCATTCCGAATCCGTTATCGAGTCAACTTTCAGGTCCCATTGACTTATCTGGGTTGTGAAAACTCAGAACGTCACAGCCTATAAAGTTTGTTGTTGTTGTAAGGGGTGATGATGGAAAGGGTGATGATAAGGAGAAGAAAATGGTATATACCTGAGTATATATACGTATATGAGAATTACTAAGGATTGTTTACTAAAGATTTGGCTTTCTATCAGAAAACTTTCCCTTATTCGTGTTAGTGGGTTTGGGGATTAGGGTGTGAGCATTTTGGCATTTAATCAGAAAACCTTTCCTTAAAATTATATAGAGTAACAACGTTATGAGGACTTTTTGGTAAAATTTCATTGTCCATGAATAGAGGTGGACGAGTATCTAAATTAGGGGAGGTAAATGATAATTCTTAAAATTGAGGGGAGCTATGTGAGCTTTTTGCTAATTAAAGGGGAGGTGAATGTAATTTATCATTTTTTTTTTTAATTGGAAGTTAGAGATATTTATAGGCAAAATGATGCAAATTCGTCACTAGACACAACCATACGCAATTAAATGCAATGGTTCCAAAGATTGCACTTTTTCAATGGTAAGGTTGGAATAACCATTAAACACAATAGTTCCAAAGGTTGCTCTGCTTCAGCCTTACAATTGCCATATACGTGCATATAATCGACCGATATTCCTTTACAATCAATATATCATGATTCATGTAATCGACATGTTGCTCATCTAAGGTGATTTGTATGGACAACCAAAATCACATTCACGTTATCATCTAACATGATGTACATAGATAAATTGTGAACAAGTTTCATAGTATGTGACCAATCCCTAGTAGCTAAAACAAGTTCCCTAGCATGTAACCGATCCCTAGTAGCTAAAACAAGTTCCCTAGCATGTAACCGATCCCTAGTAGCTAAAACAAGTTCCCTAACATGTAACCGATCCCTAGTAGCTAGCTAAAGACTTTAGCGGACGACCTTTATCTTCTAACATCAATTCCATTATTTTTGATTTTTTTTATTTTATTTCTTAATTACTGTAATGTAGGAATTTGACTCATTTGAGAATGATAAATTGCTTGGAAATGCCCAAAAATCAGAGTTGGAACTCTATTTAGATGAACCAAAAATCAATAGGAATGCGAACCTTGACGTGCTTACCTATTGGAAAGCCAATCAGTTTAGGTATCCAGTGCTTGTTCAAATGGCTCGTGATATATTGAGCATTCCAATCACTACAGATGCTTCTGAGTCTGCATTTAGTATTGGTGGTCGGGTTCTTGATCAATATCATAGTGCACTTAAACCAGAAAATGTGGAGGCTTTGGTATGCACAAGGGATTGGCTTTTTTGTTTGAAAGGTAAATAACTTATAATAAATTTCAAATTATATTTTTATTATTGCAGAAAATAGTGAAGTAATAAATTTTTTGTGTATGTTTTACTATAGATACAATGAAGCTTCAAGTGGATGACTTGATTGATATTGTGATGAAACTTAATATCAACAATGATGACCCTGCTGAAGGCCAATGTTCCACCAATGTTAGCGTGACCGAACATTAAAATCAAGCTAGGTAAAAAGCCCTTTACATTTGTTTTATTTTTCACATAATTTGTTACATGCATTCTTTTATATTTCAATCTGTTTTTTTATTTTTTATTATTATTATCTAAACTTATTTTACAGTTACCTATTTTGTAGGAATTTCTAATTTTGGGTGTTTCAGAAAAGAGTGTATGCAAATTCCAGAAGGAAGTTTTTGAGTTGTGGATCTTTGGCTTTAAAAAAGATTGCATGTTAGTTGACATTTCTATTAAATACTTTTATTTCGGTTTGTAATAACTTATGACTTATCTTTATTTCAGTCTATAACTTATGACTTGTGACTTAATCTTTATCTTTGGTTTTTAATCTCTCTTTTGGATGTTTGCTAGTATTTTAATCTTTGGCCACTTTAAACAGGTTAAGCGGGTAAACATGTTAAATGGGTTAAACGAGTTAAACAGGTTAAACGGTAAACATGTTAAACAGGTCGTTAAACAGGTCGTATTTGGTGTGTCTAACACGACACGTTTATTAAACGGGTTACACGTGTCGTGTCGTGTTACCCGTTTAATAAACTTGTCGTGTTCGGGTTTAGGATATGTGACACGATTATTAATCGTGTCGTGTTCGGGTTGACCTGTTTAGTGTTATACCCCTACTTCGACACGACACGATTATGACACGCGAACCTGAATTGCCATCCCTATCGGTAGCACCCATAACTTTCTAAAAATTATGATTTTGCCCCTAGGACTAAACTTATTCGTTTTTAAAAATTCACTTTCGCATTTTTGTTTTCTTTTAAGTCACATGACTTCATAGGAAGCCATGTTTGTGTCTTAGGGATGACGTACATCTCTTGAGACTTTGTTTGCACGTTAAATGACCATTTTGCCCTTGGGGTATATTTGACCTATTTTCACCTCTTGCTTCCGTATTTGTTTTTGTTTCCACTTTTGCATTTCGAATCCGTTATCGAGTCAACTTTCAGGTCGCATTGACTTATCGGGGTTGTGAAAACTCGGAATGTAACAGCCTATGAAGTTTGTTGTTGTTGTAAGGGGTGATGATGGAAAGGGTGATGATAAGGAGAAGAAAATGGTATATACCTGAGTATATATACATATATGAGAATTACTAAGGATTGTTTGCTAAAGATTTGGCTTTCAATCAGAAAACTTTCCCTCATTCGTGTTAGTGGGTTTAGGGATTAGGGTGTGAGCATTTTGGCATTCAATCAGAAAACCTTTCCTTAAAATTATATAGAGTAACAAGGTTATGAGGACTTTTTGGTAAAATTTCATTGTCCATGAATAGAGGTGGACGAGTATCTAAATTAGGGGAGGTAAATGATAATTCTTAAAATTAAGGGGAGCTATGTGAGCTTTTTGCTAATTATAGGGGAGGTGAATGTAATTTATCATTTTTTTTTAAAATTGGAAGTCAGAGATATTTATAGGCAAAATGATGCAAATTCGTCACTAGACACAACCATACGCAATTAAATGCAATGGTTCCAAAGATTGCACTATTTCAATGGTAAGGTTGGAATAACCATTAAACACAATAGTTCCAAAGGTTGGTCTGCTTAAGCCTTACAATTGCCATATACGTGCATATAATCGACTGATATTCCTTTACAATCGATATATCATGATTCATGTAATCGACATGTTGCTCATCTAAGGTGATTTGTATGGACAACCAAAATCACATTCACGTTATCATCTAACGTGATGTACATAGATAAATTGTGAACAAGTTTCATAGTATGTGACCAATCCCTAGTAGCTAAAACAAGTTTCGTAACATGTAACCGATCCCTAGTAGCTAAAACAAATTCTGTAGCATGTAATCGATACTAGCTAAAGACTTTAGCGACCTTTATCTTCTAACATCAATTCCATTATTTTTCATTTTTTTTATTTTATTTTTTACCTGGCAAAGACTGGAGCACCGCTTATACAGAACAATCTACAGCAGCTAAATCTAGGACATCAATTCCACCAGCTAAAGACTTTAGCGGACGTCCTTTATCTTCTGACATCAATTCCATTATTTTCAATTTTTTTATTTTATTTTTTACCTGGCAAAGACTGGAGCACTGCTTATACAGAACAATCTAGAGCAGCTAAAGCTAGGACATCAATTCCATTATTTTCAATTAAACAAATTAAAAAAAAAAGTAATTTTAAAATAAGCAATGGCCAGTGAAATAGTGAAGACCCGGATTAAAGATGGATATGATCCAATCAAGAAAACACACTGAGTTTTTCTTGAAACTTCATGTTGTATGTGAAATGAACTAGCAATTTATTAATTTGGTATGAATTATGAACTATATTACCCTATGGTTTATTTTTACGTTTGAAAACGTCACTGGATTTCATTACTATACGCGTTGAAGTTGTTGAAAATAAAATATACCCTACGCACCCGACCCATCTAAGACGCAACCGCGTTTACATACATATTTTGAATGTGAATGTGAATGTGAACGCTATGGAGAGAGACATTGAGAAAGATACATTATTGATACGTGTGGTACTGACATTTTGATCCTACTCTCCCTCTGTGTGTGTATATGTATACATGTATGTATATATATATACTCGGTCCTATATCTCTAAAACGCGGAATCCAAGTCCAACTTGATCACGACTCACGACTTTGAAAATGAACTTGTACTAGCTAGTGGGACCTTCATTATGTCGTCCTTTTAGAACTAAAAAATAAAAAATAAAAATGGGCCAGCTTAGTGGGCAAATTGACCGAAATATAAAAATATCAAATCAGACAACTCGTTATCTCAGAGTAATAAATAAACAAACAAATAAATAAAAGTTAAAGGCTTAGAGTAAAATTAAATTCAATCGTATAATACCTACCATGACAACCCCTTATTACTTGAAACGTTCCACTGTGACATTCTAAATTCTCCCACTAATACTCAAAAGAAAAGAAGAACACAAGTGAGAGATGGAAACCACCGAAGCTTCACCGTAAGTGATCGAAACCCAACTAAAATCTTTCTTTGACTTTGAAATTTCTATTGGAAATTAATCTTCACACCTTATCAATATTATTGGCTGCAGGTTTGAGAGCAGTGAGATGGTGGCAACATTTCTGGCCTCCACGCCTTTGCTTTCCGACTCGTGGAAGCTCTGCAGCCATGCCAATGCCACTGCGCCTCACGGGTTCGTCGCCAATCGGATCGGAGACGTCACTTCCGTCGCCTTTTCCGGCGTCCAAATGGTGCCCGCAGCAGCTGCAGGGGGGTTAGAACAGAGTTGCTGCAGGAACTTGGTGTCATTGGCTGCCGCCGCGGACGGCCTTTTCCCGGCGTTGCAACGCCGCGGTGAAGGGGAGGAGCCTGTCATGGTTCATACTGGGTTTTTGAATCTGTTCCTCTCCGTCTATAACTGCCCAAGCTTCCGAAACCAGGTCCGTTGGTTAATATCTTTCATATTTCAATCATATCATAAATTACATTATATTTTGATTTTGAAATTAAATTTATTGTCTATGGTTTTTATTTGAGTATTTGATGATGGGTCAAATGGGGATTGATTTATGATTAGTCCTGTCTTTAGATGAACTGAGTTGCTGCATATTGATAGAGTTTGGCATATTTCATACACCTATCAACCCTGATGTTGTAATTGAGACGTCTGAATCAGTGTTTTGAATTTCTGAATCAAAAAAAATTTAATTTAATTAAATTTCTTTCAAAATTAATTTAACTTATTTTAACTTATAAGCTAAATTATCCTTAAACTTTCAAGTTTCTATCGATAAGATTACATGTAGTTTGTGTAGAAGACAAGTGGGGGCTGCTCTGAAAATATATATTTTTTAAGTGATGGTGATATAATATACTGTAATTTATCACAAGATAAATGATTAAAAAGTTAAGCTAAACAGAGTGAAATTGAAAAAGAAAAACAAATTGATTAATTTTAATTATTAGTGTTATTTTTTTCAATTAGATTAGGGTTCATACACATTTCACAAATTATTTACTACTAAATTCAAATCGCTCAATTTTTTTTTTTTTTTTTTAAGAAAGAGATGTTATAGTAATGAAATAAAGACACACTAATCAACCGAATTGATGTTATGTAATCATAGTGTGTAATTATAAATATGTGATTGATGCGAGAATTTAAATCTAAAATGTAACACGTAGAAGCATTAGGATACAGTTGGTCAAAGTAGTAAATTTATTTATTTATTTATTTTTCAAATTTAGGCAGCCTATGTAGGGTAATGTATACGTCCAACTTTTTTATTTTATTTTATTTTTATTGGTTGTTCTTTTACTAGCCATCAGTCTTATACATTTTACCCATCGAATGCCCTCAAAAGTATCAAGGAGTACCCAATAATATAAATCTTTCCATCCTCAAAGAAGAGGATAGCGATTGAGTTCTAAGTGTTAACAAAAAGTGTGTGGGAGTGAGTGTGAGAGTGACTCTTTTACCAATATATATATATATATATATATATATATAACCTCAAGGACAGGGATGGGAATAAGAAGGGGTTTAGGTAAAAATACTCTTCTAGTTTAAACTTGTCCGATAATAGAAAACTCCTTTTCAAACCCATCTCATCCGGCGTTAACAACGGATGACCTCATAATCTCATATTGCTCTGTTATGAATACAATTTTTTTTAAGAATAATTAATCTTAAAAAAAAAAAAATCAATATTTGAACAACACATAATAAATATACCCATTAAAATATAAATTTTGTAAAATAGGGTAAAACATTATAAAAAAAAATAAATAGCAAAGGAAGAAAAAAAATACTATTATTAGAAATATTTATTGAATATAAATTTACAATTAATACGAATAGATGGGCATTTGACTCTCCTCCTCTCTTTGGACCTGAATAGCTTCGGAATTTCATGAAATCGAATATAGCATTATTGTTAAATACAATATTAGGCATTTAATTTAGGATAAAAAATATTAAAGTAATGTTAAATATATGGCTGAGGATGTTGATAAGGTATGCTAAATCAATTCATCCATGTCACCTTCAAGTATAGACTCCAAATCTGCCTACTTTTGCATGTCACCTTCTTAGTTCCTACAAAAGACGCCTTGCTTTTCATGCTTTGATTGTGGACTAACAATAATTCTCTCCACAGGTAGGTTCCTCGTTGCACAAACAAAAAATGTTTACGTCTTTGTTTTTAACTCTCTTCAAATAATTATTCCAATTCAAAATGCAATCTATTATTTTTATAATAATATTAATTTATCAGTTTTATCTTAAGGTTATAAAAGGGTGTATAGAGAATCGATGGAACGGTTAAGAATTGAAATTGTAATCAGTGTTTCGGTTACGGTTCTTAACGGTTTAAAAACTTTGAAATAATTGGGAATGGTTCCGGTTCAAGTTCTAGAGTCTAGAATCAGAATCGTTAGGACTGAAACCGTACTAATAATTATATATGTATATATTTTTAATTATATGATTATTAATGTATATGCCGATATTTACCAGACATATATGTGTGTGTGTGTCTATTGATGCTTATTTGGCTATAAATGTGACTCAATGTATTGCCTTAGTCAAGATATTGCTAAAAAAAAGATAAATAAAAAAAAAAAAAAAAAAGGAACTAGACCGGAACCGGTTTTGGTTATAAATGTGACTTAATAATTGGGAATGGTTCCGGTTCAAGTTCCAGAGTCTAGAACCAGAATTGTTAGGACGAAAACCGTACTAATAATTATATATATATATATATATATTTATTATATAATTATTAATGTATATGCCGATATTTACCATACATATATATGTGTGTGTGTGTGTGTGTGTGTCTATTGATGCTTATTTGGCTATAAATGTGACTCAATGTATTGCCTTAGTCAAGATATTGCTACAAAAAAGAAAAAAAAAGGAACCGGTCCGGTTCCGATTCTGATTCCGATTCTGTCAAGAACTGTGTTGAATCGGACCATGTACACCCCCACCCCATGTGGATCCATTATAGAAGAGTATGTTGGAAAATCTCAAGTTGGGATGGAGGACAATTTCAGTAGACAAAACCGACTAACGTAAAGAAATTTGGGTTGGGATCAACCATACCAGCTTTTATATATACTTTATTTTAAAAATACCATATGTAATATTTAGATTATGATTCCCTTTTTTTAAAAAATAATTATTTTGTTTTCATTTTAATTTATTATATGCTAACACTTTAGAGAATTAATTTTTTAAGAATTCGTTTATAATTATTTAGAAAGTTGTATTAAATTTTTTTTAATTTTGTACTTAAGAGTAATCTAATTTGAAACAAACTAAAGATTATTTTATATATTTAATGCGGAGATTGTTTGACACGATTAAGATTATTTTATATATTATTTTAAATTGACACGATTTTTTGATCTGCAAACTCAAGTTAAGAATTCAAGAATAAATTGAGTTGAAATTGAGTAGTTAAGATTGGAAATTTGACAATAATTAGATTGAGATTGAACATTTAATAACGGACAATACTTGCATCCAACCTGGTTGGATGAAGTTTGTCCAACCTTGTACGTGACCCAAGGACACGACAAGTATTCATAACTTAAGTGGTTGGATGAAGTTTGTCCAACCTAGTACGTTGCCCAATCAGGGCATGACAAGTATCCATAACTTAACTTGGGTAACCTAAATGGTTTGATACCGCAGAACACTTTATTTATTTTATTTTTTTGCTCCTTTGCTCTCTCCTAAAATCTGCAGCGATTGCCCACCAATCTCACCACTACTCACCCACCAAACATAACCATCAATCCCAAACACAGCAGCCATCACCAATTAGTCCCATACATACCCAAATAGCAGTCCCTAATCTAGAGAAAGACGTATTCGCAGGCCACTATCGCCACCATCTCCGTCGGACTGAACTTCGAGCACAGACTACCATCGCTGGAATGAACTTAATTCTCCGACCACTCACCGTGTATATCTAACGCTTTTTACACGCGCACACGGGCCTCTTCTTCTCCGGCGATTGCAATACAAGCTCAGATCCAAACTTTTCACAAATTGCTTCTATCCAACCCACTGGCTGCAAATCCTCCGGTTTCTCCGACACTGTGAAGATACCGTCCGCCTACCGCTCCTACATAGTCCGCACACTTGTGATGGGATGGGTTGATGAGGAGGAATCGGGACGACGTGGTGGAGGAGATTGAGGAAGATGTTTGTAGAGAGAGAGAGAGAGAGAGAGGATAGAATCTCTCACATAAATGGGTTTTGTTCAAAAATAGATGGGCAATGTTTTGGACAAACTTCATCCAACTTGAATTAGATGCAAGTATTACCCTTTAATAACATATCAAATATAAATACATTTATTATTAATTTTATTCTATGAAAATCTATAGATATAAAAAACACTTTATTGAATTGGGTTGAATAGAAACACGAAACACGTGATTGTTATGTATAGCTGAAGTAAAATGGTGGTTCTTGAAGGTCTATTTAAATTGACCATGACTTTGTGTACTTTGAGTAATATATAAATCAGTCCATGTTCATGTATTCCAAAAGGTGTTTTCTTCTTTTTGGTGTCTGTGAGCCAAAGACACCATAGACCGCACTAATAAGCCCACAAAACTACTAACTTTTTGCTTTACAATTTTGGTTTCATACCTCGCTTAATACCAATTAAACCCAAACCGGTTCTAAATTCATTCACTAATTCAAAAGTGCTTTTCAAAACCAAAAAACTACTGTAGTTTTTAATTCGAAGCAAGGAAGGGAAATAATTTTTCACATTTTGCATTTCAAAGCATGATTATGAGACTAAGATTCGAGTTCTTTCTTTTACTTTTCGCAACCACCACCTGACGCACCACATTAGGTCATGTAGGAAGACCAATTGCCCCCACACGTTTTTGTTAAGAATAAGAATGGGCTCAATAATGCGTACACACTTCCACGGCCCACCTCGTCTCGTCTTGGACTAGAAAACACGGAAAACATACTAAAAGAGAGATGCACTTCTCCTAATGACAACGTGGTGGTATTTGACAGTTGAATATGTATGGAACACAGTCTGAACATGTTTTGGACATGGCCAGAAATGTCTTAAAATTTGAATATTTTTATTTTCTGGTTGGATATGACATGAACACGTTGGATGCTTTTAGGTACAACAACGTAGTTTTGTAATTATTTTTCTTGAAACAACAATAGGATTCAATGTAATTTAAAATATATTAGAGGTTAATTAGAAATGTAGTCCCGTGTCCGTATATGTATTTCTTAATATCTCTGGCTCTTGAACGTAGAAAGGTAAACATTGAAACTATGTTAGGAAATGGGGACACACACACATGGTAGGAAACACATACATTTTTTTTTTTTTTTTTTTTCTAAAGATGCCGTGATATACATTCAGAGATGCGTGAAATACAGTATAAACACGTGTTGGACAAAACTTAAATTTGAATATTTTATTTTATAGTTGGACTTGGCATGAACAACTTAGATGCTTTAAAGATGCAGCAAGATAGTTTTGTAATTATTTTTCTTTATATTACTATTATTTTTTTGACGTATGCTAATATGTGTTATGCCCGTATCGTGTTACCCATATCCCGTGTCCATATATATATTTCCTAGGTCTCGGAAGCAGAGAGATAAACACCAAGCCCATATGTTGGACAAGCATTTACCCACAAAGTTAACAATTGAAATGCATATTATCACAAAGATTGTGGGAAATTAGTCTCTCTTTTTTAACCTTTTCAGTAGTTTCTTGATTTTAAGATCATACCTGATTGTTTTTAAAAACTTGAAACCTGTACATGCAGATGCTTGAAATAATGAACAACAACAAATCAGTAGTGTTCACAGGGCACTCCATTGGAGGAGCACTTGCTTCTCTTTCAGCTCTTTGGCTCCTATCCAATCTCCAATCCTTTCCTTCTCCCCTCTCAGTCCTCTGCATCACCTTTGGCTTGCCTTTGCTCGGCAACAAATCCCTTTCTCGAGCCATCCTCCAAGAAAGATGGGGTGGCAACTTCTGCCATGTCATTGCCAAACACGACATTGTGCCCCGACTACTCCTGGCACCACTCACTCCACAACTGCATACTCTACTACAGTTCTGGCACTTATCCATGACTTCTCCATACTTGAGAGAAGCTGTCCAACTAAATGACAACGACAAATCCGAGTTGTTTCATTTAGTGCTGGCTTGTACTGAAGAATCAGCAAAAGCAGTAGAAGAACCGGATATGAGTATGTTCTGGCCATTCGGGAACCATATGTTTTGTTCAGAAGATGGAGCCATATGCGTGGACAGTGCCACGGCTGTTGTGAAAATGCTGCATTTGATGTTGGCAACTGGCTCAGCAAGTTCTAGCATCGATGATCATCTTCGTTATGAAGATTATGTAGGCAAAGTTTCTATGCAGTTCCTGAAGAGGAGAGGCTTTCCGGAAGAGGAGATTCCTGATTCTAGCTATGAAGCAGGGATTGCACTGGCATTGCAATCCTCGGGAATATCTAATCATGTAAAACACGAACCTTTATTTTCACTCCCTACTTGTTTGAGACAAAATTGATGATGAAGAAAGAGTATGAACTTGCCTAATCATTTATGTTCTGTGTTCTACTTGCAGGATTCAGTTTCTGAACCAGCAAAAGATTGCCTAAAGATGGCAAAACGGATGGGTCGTACACCCAACCTCAACAGTGCTAATCTAGCGATTGAATTATCCAAGATCAATCCACTAAGAGCACAAATAGAGTGGTACAAAGCAACATGTGATGATTCTCGTGATCAAATGGGGTACTACGACACTTTCAAGCAAAGGGGAGCCTCAAGAAGAGACTCTAAGGTCAACATGAACCGAATAAAGCTTGCTCAATTTTGGACTGTGCTAATCGAAATGCTGGAAAGCAATGCACTGCCCTACGACTTTCACAAGCGAGAAAAATGGGTTTATGCTTCCCAATCCTACAAACTCCTTGTCGAGCCATTGGACATTGCAGAATACTACCGAAGTGGGATGCACCGAACCAAGGGTCATTATCTGAAGCATGGCAGGGATAGAATGTACGAGATTTTTGATAGGTGGTGGAGAGACAGAAGGGCTGTCGAGGAAGAAAATGACAAGAGGACCAAGTTTGCAAGTCTGACACAAGATTCGTGTTTTTGGGCAAGGGTGGAGGAAGCAAGGGAGTGGCTAGACAATGTTAGAAGTGAGAGCGATGCAAGGAACCTGTCTCTGCTTTGGGAGAACATTGATAAGTTTGAACAGTATGCAAGGAGAATGGTTGAGAGAAAAGAAGTGTCTAAAGACGTGGTGGCGAAAAACTCGAGCTATAGCTCGTGGATGGAAAATTGGAATGAACTAAAATTACAGCTGCAGCAATTCCCTACTCGGTTTCCTAGTTGTTTGGATGGGGAAGTAGTTCCTTAGACTATATTGTAGCTAGGATCATGATATGACTTTGTAATGCATTCATTTCAGTGAATGCTTTTCTAATGTACAATAGTTCATGATCTAGACTGCAGATAAATGAAACAGAAAAACCATTCTTGTACGAAAGTAATACCAGAACGATAATTGAATAATGTAGGATTCATTTCAAGAGAATTTCAATGTAACATTAATGTAAGACAATAAATTTCGAATTGTGCAAGTCAGACCTTCCCATTTTGACTGTCAATGTTCCTAACAGGTCCCTTAAACCATTTCCGCGCATCCAGTACCCACCAAAGCATTATTATCCCCAAACCCACACCCACAGCAACTGGCGCGTAGTTGAAAGTATTCCAAGTAATTGGGTAGTATGTGGGCAAAAGGAAGACTGAACAAGTATAACAAATCCACAGAAAAGCCACCGCGCAAATTGGTCTTCTTGCTTTTCCTAAATAAAATGGCCCGGCTTTGAAGTTCTTCTCTTCCATTACCAATCTTGCAAAGATTGGAACGGCATAACCACCAACCCAACCGATTGTGGCTATGGATGTTATGGCGGTGAAGACTACATTGACTTTCAAGATGGGGAGTCCGAGCAGAATGCAGATGGCTGCACAAAGCCACACTGCATTCGAGGGCACCTTGTGTTTTGGGTGCACTTTTCGCCATATAGATGACAAAGGAACTCCTCCATCTCTTGACAGAGCATACACCTGAAGCATGGAAGATAGCAGTTTAATATGGTGGTCAAAAATGATGTCTAGGAATTTTATGGGATGATTTAAGATGGGAATTTACAATAACAATAATAGAAATGTTCTCTGATCATCTTAACCTTCGAAAACTTCACATATTGGTGCTGAAAACAAGATTTGAACCATGCAAAAATCCCCCACACAAGCATATGCATGAACACACACACACACAATCACTCTTCTAATATAACCCCAAAACTCTATCCGGCCAAGCTTCTTAAACCTAACCCTTCCCCATTTGGCCTTCAATCGAACACTCAAAATCTCAAAATAACAGCTTTCTAGACTTTCTAGCAGTGTTTTTGTGAAGTTCTCATGCCATCTTTATTAAGATGCTAAAAAACTTCTTGAAAAAGCTGTTCAAAGATCAAGCTAATTGGCATTACTCATATAAAATTAAAATAAAAAATAATAATCAAGCTAATTGGCTCCTAATCCAAGTTATAGCTCTTAAAAAATATCGGCTACTTCACGTACCACTCTGGCAGCACTGGTAGTGATGGAAAGCCCGCCAAAGAAGAATGAGCCCCATATAACAAAAAGTAAAATAATTGCTCCGGTACCACTCTGATATCTACCGTGGAATGCATCATAGAGTATTTGAGCTGGCACAAATGCTCCGCGAGTTTCATTTGATGTATCATATAGGTAGCTTGGATCCTTCACGAGCAGTTGCAATCACATATCAAATCAATAATCCACCATCAAAGGAGTGTTTGGAAGGATCCTTAAGAATGATCATTAATTTTACAGACGTGATAGCAAACTGATTTTGAATTTAGTTTTCATCTATAGAAATTGAGAAAAACACCTTCTGATTCGTTTCCTTTTGGCTTCAAGTTGCTTCCAAACACCCACAAAGTACAGAGTAAATTGATTTTAAGAGATACCTGAATGCTGAAAGTTAGGGCCAAGATATAAGCCCATCCAAACAATGAAATGATCCCGATGCTAGAAAGAATTGCAATTGGACCGTTTTTATCTGCACCTCTAGTTTCTTCAGTTAGGTGTGCTGCAGCATCATATCCATAGAGTGAATACTGACTGACAAGAAGAGAGAGAATGGCTGCATATACTTGGCTTGATATCCCGGTTGACGCAGGTGCCATTTCAAAAGAAGTAAAGACATAGGAAGCAGATTGTGTAGTCAGTGCCACCAGGGGAAGCATAATAACTATAACCAATCCTCCAACAACCTGCTCAGAAAATTTCAAGTTAAAAAATATATTCCATTTGTCACTAAATGAAATGTGAAAAAAAAGGTACACTTGAATTTTTTTTTTTTTTTTTTTTCATGAACTTAGAAGTGAAGATCACAGCTGAAATAGGGAGTAGGTTTTACCACTGACTCAATTCTTTTTTTTTTGCCCTCACTTTTTTCTTCTTCTTTTTATGTGTATCTTGATATGACTCTGTTCTAGAGAATGCTTTACGAGACTTTATTACTATTAAAATGAAACGATTTGCTTTCTATGTGGTAACAAGATGCCTTTGTTTGTGGCTAATTTTCACCAGTCATTCACATATCCTAAATTTTTTCTGCTGGTTGTCTCCATGAGGAATGAGGAAAATTTTTTAAAAAATAATAATAAAAAATTTGGGGTTGGAATACTTGTTTCATAATGATAAATTTCTTTTCTTTAGCTCCGTGTCCTCGGAAAACAAATAGAGCAAAAATGAATAAAATTTTCAAAATTCACCAAGTGATTTTTGAATGAGACTGTGATAAGCAAGCTAGAGAGCATACCTGCCACCATATTGAAATTATATCAATAAAGGCAATAACTTCTAACGCGAATGTATTGAGCACTGCCCATATAACTGTAAGTCCAATGTACATGCATAGGAATAACCATTTAGGAGCAAAGTAGCCTCCATCTTTGTTTGTTCCGGTGCATAAAAGAATGATACTCTGCAAAGTCTGAGATCCTGCATACGCCTGCCCAAAACAAGAAATGGGAAAATTTTAAAACACCAATTGAAAACAGAATTAATGGCGGTTTTATCTCAAATAGTAATTACCTGTGTTCCTATGCCTGCAATTAGCCCTATCGTCTCGAGCCAAGCACAGCACCATGAAGCAAATGGACCCCATTTGGGGCCAGCTAAATGCGCAGCCCAAAAATAAAGAGAACCAGTAGTCTGCAGATTTTGGAAGAACTCGAAAATTTTAGAATCAAGCATGTTTTGTGTGATACTTTTTTCATATTACAAGTGAGCATGAAACATATATTGACATAGTAAACATGTCAAACTGAAAAGCAATGCAAAGGAACAATTAATGACTCCTTTTTATTCCATAAAGTATTTTTTTAGTGAAACATTTTATTTTCAGTGAATTTTCCTCATAATTACACAAGCAAAGAGATAGGTAACTTTTATTGAAGTGTTGTACACTGCGACAGTTAGTTTTTGTGTTTACAGATCACAAAGAGGGATTAAACTTTTACAAGCACAAGGCGGTATGCAGTGACAGAGCTAACGTATTTTCATTTAAAATTGCTCATACTTCCATTTCATTTAATTTTTGGATAAATACTTGAATTTCAATTATCATCAAGCTACCACATTAAAATCAATTCAAATTAAAGGAATTCTAGCAGGAATCATGTATATTCATAAAATTTCAATTTAAAAAGAAAAATCAAAATTGGGAACTCACAAAATTAATATAATTAAGACAACTCTTAGAATATAAGAAGTCCGGCATATTCTAAAGTTTAAAGAGAGAGAAATGGAGGGGATGAGTATGGCCTGTTTCAAGCAAGTATGTAGAAGGGGGTTTGCTAAAAATTTAGTGGGTGTATTGTTAAGATTTTGAAATTTTTTGGAAATGTAACCGAAATAATATATATATATATATATATATCTATATCAATGAATGATCATTATTTAAAACTCAAGACTCTCAATTCTTTTGCAATAATCATACAGCTACTTGAGTTTTGAGAAAACTAGTACATTTCAGTGGCCCAAACCCTAAATATTATACTTGAATCTGATTACTTCATAGAACAATGTTTAAAGAAGAAAACAAGAAGAATTGAATTGGTGGCAATATGCTTATTATGATTGAGCAGCAGGAGGAGGAGGAGGAGATGGAGAAGATGAAAAGCGTACCGGAAAAGAGGAGCAGATCTCAGCCATTGCGATTCCGACAAACCAGGTGAAGAAAGTGACCACAACCCATCCCCAAACAAGACTTGCTGGCCCTGCATATAGAAGACTGGAACCATACAGGGGAGTGATCCCGGTGAAAAGCGTCATTGTTGAAAACGATATTGCAAGAGTTTTGAACAGAGTCTACACAAAATCCATCATTTCAAATACATGTCAAAACACAAAAATAAATCAAAGCATGAGTTTAATAAACAGTATGTAAGAACAATTAAGACCTTGACACAACAACAAAATTAACAGCATATACAACAAGAATATATATATATATATATATATATATATATATATAACAAAAGAAAAAGGAAATCAAAATCACCATCTCTCTTCTGAGTTCTTGCTTGTATCCCAGCTCATTGAGCCGCTTCTCCCCGGAATCCATTTCTTGAGTTGGTGTAATCTCTCAGCAGGTCGAGATGAAACTTAAACCAACATCTGGAACTGGAATAAGATATATATATATATATATATATATATATATATAGAGATAGAGGAGGGAGGGGGTTGACTTTTCAATTAGTTTATTTGACTGAAATTTGAAAAGATCAAATTGGGAAAAGGAAGAGGGTGATGCATTTTCCTCAACTGAAAGTTTGAATATTCGTTATATAGTACTACTGGTATGCCTTAAATAAATAGTATACAAAACGGCTATATACAACACTTTCTCAATTTCTCATTTGGTTCTTGCTTGTTGCTTCCCGGAATGATAATAGTTGATTACCTGGACCTTTCAATTCATATATGTAAATCTCCGACCTATAAATGGGGATATTCAAGAAAAAAGTAAATAAGTTAGACAAAAATAAAAATAATTTGAATAAAAAAAGAAGTGATTTGGACAAGAAGACACTAAATGACTTACACAAATTTTTTTTTGTTAATATTTTCATACCAATCAATCCAAATATTAATTACAAGTAACCCCTTTCGATGCCATGAGTATCAGCATCCCATCCCCATATGAGCAGTGAATGCATGTGTGAAGACTTTAGAAAATTAGTTTCACATCAAAAGTTTGACTTCTTTTTATTTTCAATCTTATCTTTACTTTGCCCCTATAGGTTGTTGCCTAATGGAACATGTGTGCGTGTGTGAACATGAGTTTTTTAAAAAATTTGAACGACTGAATCCTACCAGCCTTGTAATATGAAATATCTATGAAGTGTTTTATTGTATTGAAAATTGAAGATTCTGATTTTTACTGCCAGGTAGCAATTCTTATGTGGGTCCCATCACATCTTTTTCAGTAAAAACTTTGACTTTGACTTAGACTTTTAGAAATCGTGGCTCAATTGTCTTGCTCCATTTACATCCACGCCGACAAGCAAAATTCAGATAAATAACCGACCCGAAGTAAACAAGCTCAATAGACCTGGGACCATTGCTTACACGACGACATTCACCAACATAAGATTTAAGCTTTAATTATCATCTAATATATGATAAAACACTTACAGCAAACTAAAAGTAGCCAGGAAGGCCTCTGACAAACGGGTCAATTCCTGAACCCATAGCTTAAATAATAAGCCTCCCTGGAGACATAGGCCAAATTTTTACAAAAATAGAACACGATTTGGACACGATTATATATAAATATAAATTTTTATTTATATAGAGTAATAATATTATAAAACTTAAAACATTTCTAATTTTTATATTAAGGTTATAATAACTTTTATACTACATATACAATTATTTTCTAACTTTATCATAATAGTGTTTTTATTTTCAATGAATAAATATCATTAATGCTTCACTTGTGATCATAGGTGTTTTTTTTTCAAGAAAAAAATTAAAACACCTTAGAACGTGTTCATATTACTTTCAAGATTACCAGATAAATTTGTGTTAAAAATATTTGAAAGTGTCAGACAAAGACACAGACACGACACGACACAAGTATGGCTCCTTCCTAAAAGGATCCATGCTTCATAGATTATTATCATTGGACCATCTTCAATACAAAATGTCATTTTTGCATGCCAAATCTATATTTTGAGAGGAGGTACAATTTCAAAATATTATATTTTAGCAATTCTGCTTCAATGGTGCATTTTATCCAAAATGTTATTTTTTTTTACACAACAACCATTAATTTTCAACTACCATTCTCAACTACAATTTTCAACAGACATTTTTTTTTTTTTTTTTGAGTGTTTGTATTTTATTTAGCTTACAAGCACAATAGACATATATATATGTACACACATCAGACATATACATATATATACACACAACACTGACATATATATATATATACACACAAACACAATACCAAATTGATAGCCCATGCGAGAAAGGAGAGAAGGAAGAAAGTAATAGCAAATTTAGTAATAACTATATGTTGTGTTATATTTAGCACAATAATTGACAAACTTATATTTTAACATCTCATTTAGCATACCATTGGAGAGCGGATTTTAAACCTATATGCTATATTTTGAAAATAGCAACCCAAACAGTAACCCATTGGAGTTGCTATTAACAAACACGTGTGTGCAAGCTGATACTGAAAGAACAGCTTTTGTAGGCCGAAACAAAATAACAACCAGACATTTAGTAATTTTTTATTTTTTTAGCAAACAGTTAGTTTAACAAGTCGGACAGAGTAGCAAATATAAAATGTTCAAAACACTAAGAAAAATTTACACAACTCCACCTGTTGAATTAATATAAAAGTAAATGTAACCCATATTATATTATTATAGTAAATAATATTTCATGTCCATGACCACAAATAAAGTGGAAATCCCTTCTCCAACAAAAGCCCTATAAATCACCAGCAACACAATCAATTATAGACTCTAGTAATTTCATATTAAAATAACAAGCCGATTTATAGACATCAGCCAGTAACTATATACCTCAAAATGAAAAAGAAAAAAAGAAAAGAAAAAAAAAATATAAGGAAAATAAATAAATAAATTCAACAACATGCAACAAATGGACTGTCAGCTCCCCAACAAACATTACCAGTGAACTGCTTAATGCAATATTTTATGGCTGCACAAGTTCTCACTAATAAAAAGATTAGTGCTCTGCTGCTCAAAAACAATCGGCAATACCACAATCACGACACATCAACAGGTAAGATCCCAGTCAATTGCATCCACAGGAGAATAATACAATTACAAACATCAAAGAGGAGTCCGTCACTAATTGGATAGTTGTGAATCATTTTAAATCGGACAAAAATCCGTAAAAAAGTCCGAACTTTCTAACTTATTTGTGTAATTTACCATTTCCCTGCTGACAAAAAAAAATGATTGTTGTAGAGAGAGAGATTGTAATGTTGAAGAGATATGTGTGATCCTCAAATCAATAATCTCAACCTTGAGAAAAAATATTGTAGGATAATTCTTGACCATTCTGACTCCATGAAGATGATCATTTACCGTGCTCGAGCATTGCCACCTGTAAATAAGATGATATGGTAAGTTCAGATGCTAAGATTAACTACTCGTATTATTATTCATAATAATAATAATAATAATATGACAATCCATTCGATACCCTACCCTTTAAAACAAATGAGATCACTACAATCACGAACACCAGCATTCTATTAAAGCGAAAACCAGATAAAAACATTTAAAATTTACTTTACTTGGCAATCTAAAACCAAGGGTTCTACTTGCCTAAATTTTAAAATTCAGCCAAATTTATATAACTCAAATTTCACTTCACAACTCAACAATGCTTTTCCAAAAATTTCCAGGTTAGTACTTGTAAACTACCCACAAACCAATCTGAAAATAAATGACGGATGATCTAGACCCTTAGTAAGACCTAAACTACAAAAATGCCATTATCTCTTGAAACACAAGTAAATACATATAGAAATTTACCGATATCAGATTAAAGTAAATTAAAAAAGAAACTGGACTAGCTCAACTAAAAATTAGGATATACATTGTCCCAAGAAAGCTCCCTTCTCTTGTTATGATACTGCCAAAAAAAATTTAAACATTCAACAACCCATTCTTAAGATTAACCCTAATTCAGAATACATACAAATGAAAAGGAGGAAACCACGGAAAAGAGTATCATGTTAATGCCTCCTTAGAAGACAATATTTACTTTATGCATCCTCAAGATCAGGGTCTTAATTCCCTCAAAAATAAAACAAAAACAAGAAACTATAAAAGGAATTATAACTTGTTACTGGTTTGGGCATAAATAAGAGATCTGACTAGCCTTACTGTAATAATCACCCAATAGATTAGACAGATGATTAATGATTAGCAGTACCTGTGGCTTTGAACATTGAGCGGATCTAACAAGAAATCGTTCAATAAAAATTTTTCCGTACACGTTTCTCATGTTAAAGGTGCAGCATCAAAAGAATGAACAACTTTTTCCAACATCATTCTTTTATTGGTGTCAAGAGGAGACTCTGGTTTGTGAGAGAGTGATATTTTGGAGGTAGAGCTTCTTAGAAGACACAAACACAGCCGAAAAAATTCTCTTCATTCCTCCTCTAGTGCCTATCAACGTTGTCCTCAAAACTCGTACACTCTTAGACCTCCCAGGCCTGATCTCTCAGTAACTACAATCACCTCAGCATCCTTTGTACTTTCCTATACAACAGCAGTACATAATAACATTAAACAGCTTTGAAACATCACATACAAAATAAATTGATACAATCAAAAGCAGTTGCAGCAAGTTTAATTAGGTGCCATGTGACAATCAACAGTACAATCAAATATCTGAGCACATTATTAGGACTCATAATCAAATGTTATGCCAATTTCAGTGATCAAAATATGTGTCGTAATTGGTCAAATCGTTTTGCTTTGGCTTGAATCAGTTTGGGATTGTTAGCCAGTGTTGATCTACCGGTAGATTTGCGTGAGAGATCAAATTGAAGGCTACAAAAAAAATGGCATGGAGATTTAAGAGGTGTGGTGAAATCAAGAGTCTTGATTGACTTTATTAGCACTCGCTAGGACAAGGTAAGTTAGACTAGGTGGAACTTGAGTAATAGATCAGATAAATTAACTTGGTTGAGCCAAGTTGACTTGGTTCACTTTTGGATGTCTTTAATAGTGGTTTCAAAGTAAAATATTTTTTTATTGGGACTAGAGTACCTTACAGAACGTTTGAAATGGCTTAGAACTGATACCCATCTTTGAACCTACGTCCTATTGCCCACTCCTTGTGAAAAGTCATAGTAAGGTATAATATTGTGCATCTCCTAGTACCAAGCTGAACCATTACTTGTTTTATATCCCTAAGTGAATCCAAATCCTAGTAATACATCCCACATAGATTGTCTTAATCATACTCATCTTAGAACTCGAATTCTAGAGCATTTTCTTCATCTATCACCCATATTACATAGAGAGAAGTGAAACTTATGACGACCACATTAGCAATTGTATTCAGTGTTGCTAAACTATATAATCATTTAGGCACAGCCAAGTTCGACAATCAACAAATATATATATATATGTTGACCCTAAAATCAGCTGGCTAGAGCCGATCTTAAATTGATGAGTTTCGGGCGTGCCAGAACCAAATATATGGTTCAATTGTGAGTTGTCAACTTATAGTCTCTTAGGGAATGTTGACTTCAGGCGATTATAGGAGATAGAGAAAAAATAAACTCCTAAATGAGTTCAATATTGCCTTAGTTAAAAGGACTTTCTGTAAACAAATTATAGTAACGTAACAAGAGAATAGAAAAGGGAAGATAATGGATATAGTAAGAAAAGAAAAGGAAAGAATGAGGAGAGAAGAAGAGAGAGAGAGAAAGAGAAAGATACTGAGAGATTGAGATAGAGAGATAGAGATGAAGAAGAAATAGCAAGGATACTATTCTTAGAAAGGCTTGAAGAAGCAAACAAATAATAATAAGGATTCTAAGGGTGCTGGACCTCTAGTACAGCGTACCCATTTGTTTATTTATACACAATATTGTAAACAAATTCCTACCAACAA